GACTATTTACGTTTTATATACAAGGAGGTCAAAGTCACTCTTGTCCGTCAGATTTCAAATAAGGTGGGTGTTAGTGTGTCATTAATTAGACTCAAAGTTCAAAAGAATTTTCTCATGACAAACCCCAAGCCATCCAATTTGGCATCAAATGGCTAGAAGCAATTGTAATCTCGTGGTAATAAAGATAAATAGTCTCATAATATACAATCATTAATTATATAGGGACCAGTGTGGATTAGCTCGATTCCTTTGGGTTCATGATGCGTACAGCCCTCAATGTCATAAATTCATGTCGGCCCGTAATCAAGCCCCAAACTAAATTTTCAACTTTGGGCTGGGCCCCAGCTTACTCTATGTTTTAGTCTAGGCTGGGTCATGGCCTAAACTCAGCAAAAACGACAGTAGCTAAAAAAGGTAAAATGTTAAATAGTTGAAATTACGTAGGGCTTTTAAAGAAGGATGTGGTTTGTATTCGGTTGTAACATGTGCACCTACAAAATTTATCATAATATGTAATTTTGATATAAATTTTTTTTAGAATTATCTGAAAATTTATTTTTATATTTAATTATAAAAATTTAAACTCCAAAAATGGTTAAAATTGAATAGATCTATAAACATATGAAAATTTTGAAAACAGGCGGTCTAGATAATGTGTTGCAAGATGCACTATTTTTGGCACTAAAAAATATATATATATATTTTATATTTATACATTTCGATGTCGAGATGGTCAATTAGAAGGTTTTTCAACATTTAAAGAACTTTTCCTGATGGATTTTTGAGATGCATCCTTAATTCTATATTTTAAGATTGCAACCTTATATAAACTTTTTTTCTTTTAAAAAATCTACTAGATTTTATTTTTAAGACATTGTACTTATTAACAATTTATTTTTTACTTTGGCTTTACTTGGGCCAAATAGATCATATGGCCCCTTTGATAAACAAATTCCTAGGGCCTTTGTCTCTCTCCAAATAGACCATATTGCCCCTTTTACCATGGTTTCTTCCTCTTCTTTGTCTCTCTCCAATTTCCTAAGTTATTTCCTCCATCACATTTTCTCTCTGCAAAACCTAACTCATTACTCTTTTTTCTCCACTCTCTCTAAACACCCAATCTGTTTTCCATTATCATATTCTCACTCGAGATCCAACCCAATTTTTTCCTTGTCTCATATTCTTTCTTTAGAAATCTAATTTTATTTTTGTCTCCACTAATATTCTTTATCTAAAAACCCAACCCCATTCTTCCCTCCTTTTATATTCTCTGTCTAAAAACCCAATCTTATTTTGTTTTCTCTCATATTCTCTCTAGGAAGCCAACCCATTCTGGCCTCCTCTCACGTTATCTAGAGAGAGAATGTGAAAGGAGAGAAGCATGTGTTGGATTTTCAAATAGAGCATGTGAGAGGAGGGAAGAAAGTATGAGAAAGAAAATGAAGGATGAGAAACTTTAAGATTTTGTTTTTAAAAGAGGGGCATATCAGTTTAGGGTGTAGTTGGCATACGAATGCATCCGTAGCTTTAGAGATAAGGTACACTTTCAAATTTTATCATGATATATAATTTGATATAAAATATTCTTAGGATTATCTCAAAATCTATTTTTATATGTAATTATAAAATTTTAAATTTTAAAAATGGTTAAAATCAAGTAGATCTATAAACATATGAAAATCTTGCAAATAGACGGTATAGATAATATGTTGTAAAATGCACTATTTTTTAGACTTAAAATCTTTTTATTTTTCATGGTCATATATCTCCATGTCGAGATGATCAATCCAAGGGTTTTCAACATTAAAAGTACCTTTTCCAATGGATTTTTGAGGTGCATCCGTATCTCTACATTATAAAGTTGCAACCTCATATAAACTTTTTCCATCAGTTCATATACAGTAAAAAGTTGTAGGGCCAAATTAAAAAAATAAAAAATATCGTGAGGTGTCATTTCTTAAAAGAGACTTTTACGGTTTTTATTAAAGGAAAAAGTTTATAGGAGGATGGTACCTTAGAACTACGGATGCCCCTCAAAAATCTATCGGAAAAGGTCGTTTTAATGTTGAAAAACCTTTTGATTGATCATCACGATATCAAGATGCATGACTATGAACAATAAAATGACTTTAAGTCTCAGAAATAGTGCATTTTACAACATATTATCTACACCGTCCATTTTCAAGATTTACATATGTTTATAGATCTACTTGATTTTAACTATTTTTTATATTTAAAATTTTATAATTAGATATAAAAATAGATTTTGAGATCATCCTACTTACATTTTACATCAAAATTATATACCAGGATGAAAGTTGAATGGCACCTTACCTCTACACCTACGGAGGCTTCTGTATGCCAAATGTACCCTTTATTAAAAAGCCCAATTAGTATTTTTGCATAAAATTTTCTTATTTTATTGAGTTGAAAACCTAAATATGCCCCATCTGGATTCTACGAGGAGAAATTGCTACACTCCTGGTCCTTCAGGTAGGGATGGCGATGGATTGGGACCCAACCTAGTATCTGATAGGTAGACCCTGTCTGGGTCTAGGTATGGATCCAACAATTGAACCCCGCGGGTCGGGTCTGGATTTGGGTCGGGTCTGGGTCCAAATCTTGGATCCAGGTTCATATAGACCCAACCTGAATAGTATTTATATTTAAATAAGATTTATGATATTTAAATAAATGTAGTTATATATTTTAATTATAATAATTAATATACATGTATTATGTCTAACAAATTTATAAAATATATCTAAATATATAGAACTTTTGAGTTTTGGGTCGGATCCGATCAAGTCTAGGTCCCATATTATATTTTCGGGTCTGGGTCCATATCCGGTGACTTGAGGTCCGGGTCCAGGTCCGAACCGGCCGGATTTGTTGCCACCCCTACCTTCAGGCAAGAACCGTGCAGTCCTTTCGTACACAAGATAGCTTTCAGTTTTCATGTGTCATTGACGCAGTGGTTGAACTGCATCGCATGTCACATCCCATCAGTTTACGATGAATGGTAGAGATTGAGTTCGAATTTCAATTTTTAGGCAAAATTATGTTTTAAATGGTTTAAATGGATCTTGGATGTGTTAGGCGAGGCAATCCAATACCTGATCCACCTCACTTTTCCAAATTAAAAGAAAATTTATGTACATATCCTCGAATTCCTATCAAAGATCTGCCCAAATTTCTGATTTACTTTCTTATACTTTTCTTCTATTTTTTTTTATTAACTAAATTGTCCATTCTTCGGACCTTGAATGTCTAAGTTTAACTCTAGGATCAAGCCTTGATAAGTGTTCGTGATAAGATTATCTTTGACCTTCAAGGTTAAAATTTGTTTCCGAAAGAAACTTCGCAGTATTCGCAAAATTGAATCGAAATAGTTAACTGGACATGGGCCTGGAAGCGGTTAACCGGCCTAACCTGTCAACCACCCAACTCAACCGCTCTAATCGAGCAAGTCTCGGGTGGTCAAAAAAATATTAAAAAAAATAAAAAAATACAAAAAAAAAAATTACTAAAATATGAAAAATATATAAAAAATGATTAAAACAAAATAGATTCAAATGAAGTTGAAAATTAATGAAAAAATGGATTTTAACACATTTTATATTTTCCAATGGCTATTTAAAAAAATTTCTAAAAAAGATGAGAAAATATAAAAGTGAGTATTAATGATCAAAACAATTTTTAACCTTTACCATAATGTAAAGAATATTTAAAAGTACATTACAAATCAAATTCCTTATTTTTAAGAATTTATATACATTTTTTTGAATTTTTGTTTTTAAAAAACTGGTTGATCACCCTAACCACCCAAAACCGGAACTGGCCACCGATTCTAACCTAACCGGATGGTTAACGGTTAGATCGGACGATTTTGCGAACAATGGTTTGAAGTTAAGTTTGTACTTGAAGTGCAGCCTCGAAATCTTCCAAAAACAATCTTCATACTTCGAAGCTCCGAAGTTTACCATGAGTTTCAAAAAGAACTTCGAAACTTCAAGGCATGCTTGCTTTTGCACGTATCAAGGTGAAGCTCTAAACGATCAAAGTAAAATATCGAGAAATGCAATTTCAATATTAAAAATCCTTGTGATAGCCTTAAATTATATTTTCATCTCGAATTATAAAATGTAAAGCTTCAAAAACAGTGTAGATCGAGCAAATCTATAAAAACTTGAAAATCTTGAAAATTGACCGTCCAAAAACGCATCACAAGATTCACTATTTCCAAAACTTGAAATCCATTTTTTTCTCATATCAATGCATCTTGAAGTCGAGATGATCAATTTGAACATATTTGGGCATCAAAACCCTCTTTTAATAAAATTTTTGAGGTGGGCTCTAATTTGATTGTTTAGAGCCTTCCACTTATATTTGACTAAAGGCATCTTTGGTAAGTAAGAGTTTCTAGAAGTCGGAGTCAAATATCCCACTTCCATGTTTGATATTACCGTGGAAGCTACAAAGTGAAAGGACGGCCCCAAGCACCTTTATTGAAGTGTTAAGATGGGTTCATTTTTGGAATTCCTCTCTTCCATTCTTCCATTAAAAATAATGGTTGGAAGACCTCCCTCTTCCATAATTTGTGGGAGTCCCCTCCACTTCCAAAAACTCCATGTCACCCTAAGTGTATAAAGTTCAGGAAGATCAAGAGGGACTAACAATTATGATAGTTGCTCAGACTGGAGACCTCTCTCTCTTGTAGTTGCTCAGACTGGAGACCTACCTGTCTCACACGCGCTCGCAGAAAATAAAAGAAAAGAAAAGAGACTGAAAAGTAGAACTACATGGCTACATTGCTCTCCTCTATAAGGGGGATAATATTTAACACAGTTGTTGCAACACAGACAATCTCCATTAAAATGAATTTTTATTGATCTCATAAATTTTTTTTTTTTTGGGTAGTTCATTTGTGGTAATCGACTTTGGGATGTAGCATTGCCAACATTAACTGCTAACTACTCAAGCCCAAACCCGACTCTTACTCTCATGAATTTCACTCACTATAATGAAACCAATACAAGGATACCACACACTATACTATATTTAACTGAGGTACATCTTGTATGCAGAGACGAGTTTTGGGGAAAGAAGCAAAATAAATGCCAAAATAGAACCAAAAAACAAGCTAAACGCTGATCTCACCAAATCCATGTCTTCTGGTTTGGAGCTAGTCATGGCTACGGCATGGGGAAGAGCCTCCACTACAGCGTCTGCGAGGTCTGATATGAAGGATGGATCGCAACCCAGAGCGGGTACCCTTCCCCAGTTCTTGATGCCTGATTCCAACGCCAAATGTTTATACTCCATATCGATTTCTTCCAACGTTTCAATGTGCTCACTCACAAAGCTGAAAATCGACAGAATGAGTACCCAGTCTAAGTTTACAGGACAAAATATTAAGATAATGGAACAGCAACATTTTAGTGGAGCACATAAAATAGTAATGCTGCAGGAAACTGCATGCTGCATGTAGTCATAGATCGTAATCATCTATCATTAACAAGCAACAATTGAGATTAACCATTCTTCATCTTGAGTCTACAAGAATTAAGATTATAGTTAAATAAAAATATTAGAAAACCCATTACATCAGACTCAAGATGAAGAATGGTTCATCTCAATTGTTGCTTTTTAAAAGATGAAGAATGGTTCATCTTAATTCTAATCTTTTTAAAAGATGAAGAATTAACATTTGATTAGGTTTTATTAGGGTACAACTTGGGTTTTTTCTTCTTCTGCAAATATGTAACTATAAGTCAAAAAAAAAGGTGGTGGAAAGAAAAGAGTTTGTTTTTGTGTCTTATGAAGAAATCTTTCGAAGTGGATTCCCTGAGAGAGAGTATAATCTCTCATCGCTTTATTTTATCTTTTATTTACCGATTATCCCTACATCAGAGCACATCCTTATTTGAGCTCGAATGAAGGTTCATCTCAACCATCCCTTGTTGAGAAGGGATGTTGGAGACAATTTAGTATTATAATGCTACTCATAAATTGTAGCGCATAACTAAATAATAAATAATGGTGATATAATGTGGTTTAACATATTGGCTTCATGGCAAGGAATAAGGTTCATGACACTGTCCTATCCAAAAGAGATAGAAAACCTCCGATATCAATGAGGGCACTATATTACAAAGAAAATGAAATGTTGCCTAGGTGGCCAGGATTAAGAAAATGAAATGTTGCCTAGGTGGCCAGGATTCCTGAATTAACAGTGTTGAGGCCCCCAAAGGGACCATAAAGTAGCAACTGGAATAAATGGAGCAATACTCACGCCAGAGTTATCAAATATAGACCATACATTCACATGTTTGGTGAGGGAAAGAGTATTTTGGTCACATGGAAGGCCTCTATTTGGCCACACGGTTAATAAACATCTCTAGCTTATCACATATGATTCTTTTAAGGTGACTCATTCCAGATTCACTACGGGAAAAGAGAATGTTTTCTAGATGTAGTAGTTCGCGTCCTTGTCTATAACTGGATGCAATCCTGATGTTTGCTGAAAAGAGACTTAAAAATAATCAAGTTGCCTGAAGCCAAAAATTTACTAGGTGACTTACCAAAAAATTGATGCCGCCTTTGCTTAAAACTGAACAACAAAGTTTAAATTAATAAATATTTTCCTGTCCCTAATGTTAATCAATTTGCCTAAAGCCTACGAAAAAATTGACGCCGCGTTTTCTTAAAACTGAACAACAAAGTTTAAACTAATAAATATTTTCCGGTCCCTAATCTTAATCTCCAGTTACTCATACAATTATGAAACTTTTACCTCTTCAAAATCTAATGCCAATGCGATCTTCGGAATCTCAGCCATTTCAGATCCTAAATCTTCTACTTCTTTCACCAACTCTTGATTTCCCATTTTTTGAAACACATGAAGGAATTAGCGATGGCAGATAGCCAGAGACTACTTGTTACACCCACAATCCCCAGATATTGCTTTGTACTATTCCCCCTTTTTTCTCCTCATGTTTTTATTTACCTAACTGCTTAAAGCATATTCTAATAATGTAACACCTTGGGATGTCTTCTCCATAGCTCCCACAGCAGTTTACAACCTTTCATTTCTAGATTAAATTTCTTTCAACTTTGCCCTGACTACTCAATGACCCTACACGTAAACCTCATTAACTTTTTGGTGATTCCATTGGTAGCGTTCCCTTTCTACCTGTTTAACTTTTAGAAAACCTTTTTTATTCTCCTTACCAGTAATTTTTTATCCCTATACACACATTTTTGTCCGTGGTTCCAGCTTCAACACTTCCCATTCATCAAGTAGAGAATTTAGGTTTTATCAGCAATGGTGTTTCACACAATAATCTCTCTATTCCAATGCTTGATTAGACAACAGCACAAGAAAGTCTGGGATCAACTATCCAAGGTACAGTACCAAGGAAATGGCTCAGACTTTCGGATCAGAAGTAAGAGCTCAGAAACATCAATCAGGATAGGACATTGAACGGGTCTATTTCAGCAGACTCAAGATTGTTTGGGATGGTTAGAATATCAAGATGCATAAAGAATTATGCGACAAGTACATGGAGGAAAGCATATTTCAGTTCTTGAAAGACTTAGCGGCCTGAATTCCCACTACTCTTTCTCACCAAAAGTAGTAGGAACATTACTTGGCATAAATTTGGTATCGCAGAATTTGTTATTGATACTGTCAGTATCAGCAATTTCTTATTGATACTGGCCATTCTGGTATATATATACATATAAAAATGCAACTGGATAAACAGGGAGAGCAACAAGACAACATTGTTAGAGAGTTTCAAGAACAGCTAGCCCCTTAGACTAGACACTTCTTCAACCTTTTGGTTGTCTATCTTTTCTTCCACTCAGTTTACCATACTTTGAAAAAAACTTGATAATGTAGTGGGTAAAGAGAGATCCAAAAATTTAAAAATAGAGATCCCTTAAAGATCTCTCTCCCAGAGCAGCAGAGCGAGAGTCCAGAGCAGAATTCCCACCTGGATTTGGCAAGCCCTCTAACTATTGATAATCTTATTTGTCATCGAAGGGCTGACTCAGGATCACCATGATACTTGCAAGTCTAGAACAAATTTGGGAGGACCAACTAGAGGTGTATTCTTCTCTACCAAAATTCCTGTTGTGACACTAGTCAGGTTTTGTGGCAATTTGCTGTGCATTTCACACAAATGTAAGTTCAAAATGGAAAGTAACATACATGGTGGAAACATTCCTGACCACAAACATCACAAAGCGTTCTTGCCCTTGTTTGGTGTTCCATTCCCATATCTAATCTCAATGAGCATTCCTCAATTGCCCTTTTCTATATATACACCATCTTAGTAAAGCATATACATCACATTCCTCTATTTGCATGTGTATAATACATATACAGATACAGATACATTTATGTGGAAATGTGTGATTCTTGTTGGGATCACAAATCGTGAGAAGCAATAATGGTAGGGTTTGGAGCATTTTGTAAACTAAAGAACATCTTGGGGTAATCCTTCTCTTTCTTTTCTGCTCGCCTCGTAAGGTAACAAACGTAGAGCTTCTTAAACCAACAACATCACTCTATTGTTGTGTAACTTGAATGTCTTCAAGAGGCTGGGTATTCTTCATTGTGAAGGGTTCCCACATCATTCTGGAATTTTCTCAACATGCTACACATCCCTAATGGCCATTTTGGATAATATTTTGTTTTTAGATTGGTGAGGTCATACTAACTATCACTGCCAACTTTTTAGCTATTCGAAATGGAAAATTTGGTTCAAACGTTCCATTAATATATGAATCATTTCAAGGAAATCAGCAACTTCTTAGTGTCCGCCAGCAAAAACATGGAACATAGATGAAAACTAACAAGTTTAAACCCCAGTTTGGACAGACAATTACCTTATTGGAACAGCAAGAAGACTCTTCACCCCTTTCTGACCAAGCTCAACAAGCACTTTATCAGTGTATGGCTTCAACCACTCAACAGGCCCAACACGGCTCTGTCAAACATAGTACAAAGCATGTCATGAACAGGATGGAACGATCACATGTAAGAGAAGTATGAAATTCCATAATTGATTTTAATTTCACAGAAATGAAAATGCAACAGAAATGAAGCAGAACAACGAATACTCAATATCCCATACATAAACTTGCAAATTGTTACCTGATAGGCAAGTGTGTGGTCACTTTTGACTCCTCTAGATTTTAGTTCTTTCACAATCAAGTCCACACACTCCTCCATCTGTTGCTTATAAGGATCACCAGCATCTTCAACGTAGCTGACAGGAACTCCATGAGCACTAAAGAATATCATTACCTACCATTTGACCAAAAGGGTAGCAAACAAGCCTCAGTGAGCCATATGGGAAATATTGAAAACTACTAATTCAGTAAATCTCCATTCACATATAATAAACTTGAATCTTCCCATGGATGAGTGTTGTAAATGAAACACTTGGCATCTGCCTATGCGTTTGGTGTTATATAGTTTTTTCGTTGCTGATGTTTGAAATGTAAAGGAATGTGGTGAGACATAGTGACAAGCTAACTTCAAACCCCACTTACACTTTGTTCCGTTTTTTATTAGTTTGAAACATCTTTTTCTGGCTTGAATGTTTGATGTGAATTGACTCAGTCTTGGCAGGGACCAAGTAGGCCACACTGGATCCCATAATCAAAATACACTTATTGTGTGTTTCATTACACTTATTGCGTGTTTCATTTTGGGAAGGTGTCATTTTGGAAACCGTGTCTTCCCAAAGAAGGAAAGTGGCCACCTCCACAGCCCCTAGAGGAAGTCGCTACTTCCAATTTTTAATGTTGTTTAGCACTTGTCGAAATCAAACATTGAAGTACTACAGTTTCTAGAAGTGTCCGCTCTGGAAGCCGCTGCTTCCAGAAATCAAACGTGCCATTAATGTCACCAAGTAAAATCAGCAACACCATATTTGTTTAATAAAAGGAAGCAGAAACAATCATACTTGACAAGAAACCACTACAAGTCTAGAAAAAGAACATCCTTCTTGAAACTATGCTTCCAGGTATCAATATATCAATAGGATTTCCCATCTACTATGAAACCAAGGGTAGTATTATTTGGGATTATTTCAGAAAATAATGTCTATGGGTTAGAACAAACTGAAGTGAAGACAGACTTCCTCCTTGTTACACTTATGAAAAACTGCCTTTTCTTAAACAACGTGTCAACAATGATGAGAGTGATTTGAGAAGTTAATCACAGAAATTGACGTAAAATCGCATTCTATGTACTTAACGATGCCACTTTCAGACACTTGAAATGACACCCAACAGTTTTCCAGACAAACCACATAGAGAGCTTTCATGAAGCCCGCAGTTTGTGTAGAATAATTGGGGTTGCTCACAAAGTTCGGGTTACCATCTATTTATTAAAAATCTTTTGAAGTTCCCATCTTTGGAAGCACAAAAAGTTCAAAACTTTGAGAGAAACAAATATGCCTTATTTAAGACATTATGCAAAAGCAAAAACTTCTTATACCTTGAAAGTTTTGAAAATTCCAATATAGAAATTCATTGCACATACCACACCTTGAAAAGGATTAGAACATTATTGACTTTTTCTGGGAAACAATGTAGAAAAATGACAAATATAGAAATTACCTCATCTGGCATACTAAAGCTTTTCAGTTCCTTCTCTATCAAATTTGCCATTGATTTAATATATCCTTCACGTTGATACCAGGACTGTATGATGGAGACAGCTACCCTCCTTAGATACTCATCCTCCCTAATTGGATTTTCAAAGAAGTGATTAAGATTACTTGTTCTTCAGATTGCTCTATAGTAAATGAGAAAATATGATAAACTTAACTGACCAGAATGCAGATTAATACCTCAATAATCTTTGAAGAACACGTATACTTGATCCACTTGTTGAAATGGAGTACTGGGGATAGAGTGGTAGAACAACAAGCCTCGTAATTTTATCCTTCTTGATCTATCATGTCACAGACATAGTATAATCAGGAATTAGCACATCAGAGAAATTATGTTAAATATATTAATGTGCATAATAGGAATTTCTGCATTTCAAGTTATTAGTGTTCACCAGATAAAAACATATGATAGAAAATCCCATAGAAAAGCATCCTAAGTCACAAGACTGGTGGTCATATCTGCATCAAGCAATGTTATCTTAACATGAAATTTGTGTTCTACAGAAAGATAAGGCAACTAATTCTGACAACAATTCTGTTCTCAAATCACTAGCCATAAAAGGCTAAAATGTGCATTCAAATTACAACTAGACCATCAGTAAAACTGTTTTAGAACAAACTAAAGGATGGCTCAAAAACATTTGGTGCTTACCAGGCACACAAACAGCATCAGAATGAACCAACGAAGTGCTTGTCGTGATTGCATTACGGCTATAATATGCCAATAGCTGTATTTACCAACAAATTTGTTTTTGAAGAGTAATCAAATTTAGAGGAAATCTCCATGGCCTGGAATCCCCTAAGATCCCTGGCCCAACAACTCACGAAGATCACTAAATCCTTGACCATCTTCCCCTTCTTTTTTCCTTTTCATCAACATGCTGGAAACCTCCCATCCACTATTTTCTTAGCCTCCATCCTAAGCCATTTTGAATTTCCAGCATTCTTCTTTGCTGGATATACACTTATGACAAACTTTTGAAAATGAATCTTGTCCTCATAGTACACAATCATCCTTCTTTGATGGCAAACATGACTCCTCCCCCCTTTTCTTTCTTTTTGATAAAACCCCTCCTAGGTGGATCATCTTCACTTATCTTAGTACTGCATAAAACAAACTGAGGAATTTCATAATAACCTGATTAAGGTGGCTCTGCCAGCATGTGAAAGGGCTCTTCAGCATTAAAAAATACCACAATATTCTCTCCAATAAGGGATTTAAAGGTACTTCGCTGGATAACAAACAACTAGAGGTACTCAACATAGATGGAAAAGAGTCAGACAGACATCCAATCATCATCAATGCAAGCTGCTCGTGTCTCCTAGCCCACAAAAAAGAAATCATTTCTTTTCCCAAGTTTATTAACCATGATAGACAGCCCAGCATACTATTCCAGAAGAACTTTACGGTCCTCAGCTTCTCTAATTAACCTCCTCAGAAATAAAAGAGAATTATCCACATATTAAATGATATAAATGATTATGCTCATATGCTGTCTCCACACATTAAAGGCCATACTTACCCAAAAAAAAGCCATCCGCAACCAAGAGACTTAAGTATTTTGGTCTCAGAAACTACCTTGGCATACCATGGAAAGACATACAACATTCTCTAGCACTCTATACTTAAGGTGAGTAGATGTTAGTTCCTTCAAGTGCAGGAATCAGGTGAAGGTGACAAAGTAGCATTCAACTCCTTCACTATCATGCGTCCCTCAAAAATATCTCTGAAATCAGTCACCATGTCCTCCTTGATCCTGTCCTGAAAGACTACTAAGTAATGTGACTCAAAAGCAATTGTTTGGGGATTCTGTGGTCTTTTGATGCTTGGAACAGATTTGTTGGAGATGTCAAACCTGTATTGCCCCATTGTTTGGCTCCAAGACAAGATTTGTGGCACATGATTGACGAAATCATGAGGTGCCTAAGGAATATTCAGGATTGATTCTCTAATCTGCAGCTCCCTCCTTTACGTTTCTTTTGTACTTGTCAATAATGTACTAAGAGAAAAAAATGAATTTATTTTATCATTAGAAACATGCAAAAGGGATTTGACAGAGATCCTATAATGATGAAAATGCAAAAAGCATAATATTTAGAATGATACAACAGTAGTTATAACAACCCGACATTTTAACAAAGCCTTGGATAGATTTCCATTCATACAAAAAATAAAACATTCAGTGTCTTATACAAACAGAAGGCTCGAGTCCCAGCAGAAAATGGGCCAAGTTTCTGCTTTGCCAATGCCCCCCCAAACCTGGCTATGGAGTATCTGATGTACATTCCGGGCGTCGCACATAACCAAAGAGTTAATCTAACAGGAGATGGCTATTCACAATGAAGAACTAGCCTTCATTGTGCAAGCATAATTAGTGGCCCTGTGGATCTATTCAAAGCGGTTACCCTATTATTGCTCATTCACGCTGAGTCTTTAAAACCCACAGATTAAGGATCCCCTGAAATGGATCACATAAAACATGAGTTCTACGAAAATTCATATGTATTAAACTCAAATTCAAGAAGAGTCTTAAAATCCAAGTGAAAAGAAAAAGGTGATGACTCAAAAGTAACTACGGACCTATCACATCACAAACGAATAATCATCATGCGAGCCTTATCCCGAATATTTGGGGTTGGCAGGATGCAAGACAGCGAAATCAGAGAAGTGTTTGGTGAGGACCTAATATGCTAAACTTTCAATTTTAATGATTGCAGCTCAAGGTAGGAGGTCACAAGCTCAAGTTTCAAATATCTGCGATCTTACTGCTCTCCTGTCAACCTCAAAAGGCACCAGAGTGACAGGTACATCATTTTTTATGACATTGAATCCCATCCTCAAATCTGCTGATCCATCTATGTTATTTGGGAGAACAACTATTCATGCATAATATAAATTATGGGAAATTTATCAAAATACACCCAACTGATCAACTATTTAACATTATACCTATATTTAACCATTCCAACTCATGATCATGTACATTTTGAAATTAAATCAAAAGAATTAAAAGGTTCCATAGGTCATCTTTTAGGTGCATTTTGAGATATTTCTCATAAATTAATGATCAGTTTTCAGGAAAGTTAAAGTAGACAGCGTTGAGCCTGCTTCCCAAAAGAACAAGAATCTCGTCTTTAACAAAATCTACGTCAAGCAAGAGACATAGTGCACTCTTCATCTGAAGTCTGAAGTCTGATAATTCAAAAGGCTGCTAATCACAAAAGGACATGATGGATAAACTTGAGAAGTCAAAATGGAAAGATTAAAAACTAAAACCTAGTGACCTTTTGTGTCATGATTGAAAATTAACAAGGTGAGATAATCGTGTACGCATGAGATTTAAATTTTACCTGATGAACTGCATCTTCCGTAAATGGATGCCAGTATCGCATTCCCACATATACATTGACTGGTATGGTTTTTGCTTCTACTGCCTTCTTCAATGCATCTGCCTTGAAAAACGCCAAAAAAAAAATAAAAAAAAAATTCATCTAATCTCTAAGTTTGACATGAATAATTTACTTAAATGAACTCCATAATACAAAGCATCATTTGTCACAATTTTTTATTGATACAGTTCCACAAAATAAGACACTATGCTCCCCACTATTTTTTCCTAAGGCCCATACTTAGAAGAATAAATAGTCATCATTACTCAAAGCACATAGCCAATGACTCATCAGGAACTGCAAGATCACATGCAATATGTTTGCCCTTGCAATCTTTCCCACATATTGCAAAAATAACAAATATAACCAGCAAAAAAGTGTACAAGCTAACTTTCATCTCATTTTCATATAGCTAAAGTAAGACCAACTTAAAGCAGACTTTGGAGGTCCATAAAAAGCAATCTTGGCATTCTTGTACCACCCAAAATGTAGTAGACATTTGACCCATTATAAATCTTACTAAATTTTAGTTACTAATTAAAACGACTAATAATAAAAGAGAGAAAGTGAAGAACATAAATGATGAAGTGATATCGTTTACCTGTTCATCAGTAATCTTCCTCAATGGGGAGCCACCACCGATGGAAGCATACCCTTCTTTACTTTTGGGAGCCCTGAGAACTGATATTAATTGAGCCAAAGGTCGCTGAAGGAATCGGAATAGCCTGGGCAAACGAATAATGTCCTGCCAAAAGAATCAGGAATCAGTCATTTGAACTCTATTCACCAACTAATTGTGTATCACTTTCATATGAAGCAATAACAACTGAAAAGGGTAAAAAGTATTGGCATTTTGATACAAAATGAAAAAAAAAATATGCAAATATCTAAGTTTCCACCTCAACCAATTGCAAGCATTAGCCACAAAGAAAATGATGAAAAAGAAGTAGAAAAATAAGAAAATACTAAACAGACCCTGAGAGGAGCAGAAAATTCTGAAATACACTGATAGAAACCATATGACACTCAGAGAAGGAATTATGAAACTCCATTTGGTATGAAAAGGACAATGTAATCACAAATCCAAGTTGATCCAAAACAAGTTGTGAAGTTTGAAAACCAGCAAGGAACATTACAAGAATTTTATGAGGATAAACATGAATTGAGTAGACAAAAGAACATACTGGATCAGCAAATAAATTGAACAAAAAAGGCTGAACATCCTGAAGAGTCTCTGGCCCTCCAAGATTCAACAGTAAGACCCCAATCTTCTCTTGCTCTGGAATAGAATGAACTTCAGCAGCAATATCTTCAAAACCACATAACTCTGCTGAGGAAACTGCATTTGCAACTAGCTTCCTCTTTTCACGGACCTTGCAGCTATACTTTCTTGTCCCGAACCCATTCTCATCAGTCATAAATAATGATGAACAGGTTTCAGATTTTCTTGAACTTCCTAGTGAGCAATGTAGCATAGCTGTCTGCTTAGCAACAAATGGTTGGTTTTGAGGGCATAACCTGCAGTTTTTAGACCAAAAACTTTTTCTCAAAAAGAAAATTTTAAGAAGGCCCCTCAATCTGTAATCCTTAAAACAACTGAAGATGATCATAAATGATTGAAATCATTAATTGGAAACCGCTAGTGCACATATGAAAGTTCGAAACAAAACCCAAAGAACCACACTAATTACTTGCCATTGAGTACTGGATTATACCATATATCTTCGAAAAAAAGAGAACATCGAAATTGGTTACAAGTTTACAACTTTATAAGAGTACCTAACACACATTCGAAGCTAGCTAACATTTTCCAGGCACATTCTGAAAAAACCTCGGACATATGAAGGAAGAAAATTAATCCTAGAGCTTGATTTAGCAGACATTACCTATCTGTCAAGCAAAATTTTTAACAAATACGGTACCAAGAAAAAAGCAAGAGAACAATTTTGGTGCACTGAATAACAATTTTTTCACCTGGACTATGCACAATTAGGTAATATTATCTATTGTTTCAATGTAATACACGAAATAGAAATATCAGAACTTACCTTTTCAAGTAATCCTTGGAGTTGTTTACAGGGGAAACAGAAAGTTTCATACCATAAAGTTGAGAACCCACTGCCTCCATAGTGCTGATCTAAAATAAGAACTTCTTCCCTGCATCAGAAAAAATGCCACGAACTCAAATGTGTTAACCATTACTTAGTTCTTGAAACCAACATAGACCATATGGTAGAGGTTTATGATCATTAGTGTAGCCTTCAGCACATGGTATGTCAATCCCTTTGTTTTTTAAGAAAATATTTCCGATAAGATGAATTTGAAAACTCAAATTGTGAAACAAAAGTCAATACAATTAGGCATTTCCGAATGATTCCCTTGAATGAAATAAATACAGAGGCTTTTTAATAATTAAAATACAGACACTTTTAAGTAAACTATCCTATTCAATATTAATTTAAGAAGGAAAAGAATTACAAAAAATGTGGATTTCAATGTAGAGTGATCAATAAATGAAAAAGTAATCGAACTCTAAAATATTATTAAATAACCCGTGCCCTAGCATCCCTGATTTGATTAAACGATCATAAGACTTACCGAAATATCATAGAATTAACACCCAATGTATCCATCTAACCTCAAAAATAATTATTAAAGGGTCTCATTGCTCATTGACAATTAGAATTGAAGGCATCAACGAGGAAACCCAAACAAATACAGAAAATTCGCGCTGTTACAAAAGCAGGGAACTGCATTTTTCAATCAAACAACAAAATATTGGAGAAACTAAATGCAACAGTCAGAAGAAAAGGTCAAAGAAAAGAAAAATCAGAAACTCAAAATAAGATAACCATTAATTGTCAAAAGGAACGGAAATAAAAATAATTAAAGAAA